TTATGCTCTCACCAAAAATAAAGTTTTTAAAAAGCAATACAATCTTAAGTAAAACAAAGGAAGACGACGAAGAATGGCAAAGATCCTAAACACTTTGTGCTTCACCACCATCTTGTTTGTCATCTTCGTTATTTCTACTGGTAATAACTTAAAACTCAATAATTCTTATAAATATTATATCTAATTCACAAATCATTATATCATATATGTTACAAAATAGGAATACCAAAGAGCAAAGCCGCATGTTTCACATTTAAAGGAGAATGTTTGGTTTACTATAGGGGTCAAAATCCACCCTTTATAAATCAATGTCTAAAAATTGATTAAGTATGGAAAAATGTTAATGGATTTTCCGCGAAAAATTTTTAACAGATTTTCCCGCGGAAATTCTTAACAGGAAATCCGTGAAAAAACTTCATCTTCTGGTTTAATCCAACCCGCGGCTAAACCATAAACTTAACCAGCGAGATGGTGACAACGAGCAGTGGACCGAGCCGTGGAAATGGGCCGCAACATCCAGAAGTACGACGAGTCGTGAAGAGAAGCCCGCAACATGTAGCCAACTCTGCAGAGAGAATCCCGCAGAATAAGGAAGGCATCTTTATCTCCTCGACAGAAACCCTAGCCGCGGAGTAACGCTATATATATGTTTGTTAGCCCTCATTGAAAGGGATCCGGAGCTTTTCACATAAACACTTGTAACATTGATTCGCAAAAATATCAATAAAGAAAACCTATCTTCTTAATTTTTGTATTCCGTGATTCGTAACATAGAAATCTTTGTTTCTCAACCCTAAGACAAATTATATTGTTAAAGTCTTGGAGCGAAAGCACTAAAATTTCTTCACGGCTCTCCGGAGAAGATAAATTTTGGGAATAACTTCGAGATGGAGTTCGAGTAACCGACAAATCTCCAGGCGACCGCGGTTCAGGAGAAGAAGTTAGGTTCTGGCTCTCTCCAGACATAATGACGTGGTTCAAGTTTTCACATCACCCACATCAGAATATGAAACTCACGAAGCAGAACGGGTTTCACCACCCGTGGCTTGGAGTACACCAACGCAATACGGGTTTCACGCAAACCTAGGACAACTCGTGTTTCCTCCTGAAGCGGATCGAGTGCCCAACGGATCAAGTGTCACGCGGTCGGTTTCCTTCTCAAACAACAATCACACCACAAGAAAACAACACCCTACAGATCGAGATCCAACACGGCTCGAGGTTGCGCGGCTCAGGACTCTTGCCAGTTCAGGGACTATGCGCGACTTGGATATCGCCTCGGGTCTCGCATAAGCCAAAACCTCACACAGGCCGGGGCTCGCGACAACGTGGCAAGCTTCGGATTGATGGATCGGTGTCACGGCTCCTTGCCCGATTCGGAGAAAGACACGGCTCGGCGACGGCACAACTCGGGGACAACCAAGCTTTCTACGAGTCGGGATCTAACCGTGGCTCAAACTAGCAACGGCTTGGCATCTTACATGGCACGGATCGGGTCACCGATAGCTCGACAACACGAGCCCCGGTTCGACACAAGACGGACCGAGGTCGAAGAAGATGTGGCTCTGGCTCGACTTGGATATCGGTGGTTTTAACAG